ATCATGATTTGAATTAAGAATTGTTTATGAACATTGATTTTGAACTATGGCACACTAATATAATACAATTGCATCTAATTAAATGAGAATGTTTGGTGAGAAAGATCAAACTCTAAATTGTTGATTTTGATGGGAAAGCTAGTGGCACGATTGGAATTGGAGCCTCAAAGGAAAGCGGGGGCTAGGAGAACGGAAAGCTAAACCAGGTTTGATATCTAAAAAGGTAGGATATTCTTGTCCATATCCTTGTTAGCCTTACTTTAAATGGTTTTAGCCAATGAAAATGTTTTAGAGCAAAACATGTTGAAAGAAAATGATTTTAAAGGAAATAGCATGAATAATGCTATTAAATTTTCCAATGATTTTGGAAATGAGATTTTAAAGAGTATCATTTCTTAAAATGAAATATTTAAGGAATGATACAACGCATGGTGGCCACAGAGATCGGGATGTGGGAATCGCATCCTTGAGGGCAGGTCTCGAAACCCGTACGGATCCACTTCTTGTTTAGTGGAATTATGGCTCTGCACTTTTCATTTGACATACATTTTTACCGCTTCTTGTTTAGTGGTATGATGAGCTGCACACTTTCATTATACAGATATTTTCTACTGTGAGTATTTCCTTTTCTAAAAAGGGATGACCGGTTCCGGGTGTATATCTTCGGACCGTGAGTACCTTTATTTTAAATGCTTTGTAAAATTATATCCTACTGGGCCTTTCGCTCATCTTTCTTGTTTTCAAATGTATTAAACCCCTCCAGGAGACGCGAGGAGTAGTGCGGAGTAGGTAGCTACTACCGGTGACGTGGACTTGACCTCAGAAAGTGAAGAGTTATCTTTCTTCTTATCTTTTATTTCAAGGCATGTATAAAAGATTATGGATTGTAAACTTAAATATTACTAGACTGTGGTTGATGTCACATTTACTCATGTTTATATTCATGTATGCTAAACACCTGTGGAAATTCCTGACTTGATACTAGGGACGTAGTTTTAAACTGGTTTGGTTGGAAATTCCACCACCGTTTCTGGAAATTGAATTCCTTTCTTGAAAAAGGGGCTCGTTTGGAAATACCTGGATGTTTTGGATTTAAAAGAAATTAAAATGTTTGCTAATCACTCTCTCAAATAGGTTTAAGTTTCTAAACGAGCCTCCACGTCACTAACCCCGGTTTGGGGGCGTGACATTTAATATTTTTTAATAGTGACATACATATTAATAAAAAAAACACATAAAAATTCTCTATGTTTTTTATTTACTATATTAAATTAATTTTTATCTAGACCTTGATATTGTTATAAAATTTAGGATCATAGTATTTATTTTAATGGAATGAAATTTCTGAATTTATTAAAAAGATTAGATTGTGCTACTAAGAAAAATATTAATAACATATTATGTGTGGATCTACCTGTTTGTTTCGAGGATTTGAGATGAGAACTTGAGTGAAAAAAATGAAATTATATTAGAGAAAACACTATAAAAAATGTTGCATTTGAATTTTTATAAGGGAAAACACTATAATAAAAATAATTTAAAGAAAAGTTTATGATTTATTATGATTTTGTTAAGAATTATTATGACATTTTAAATAATTGAGCGCCATTATTTATGACATAAATACAGCCTCTATCCCTTACGAACTAATATGTTGTGCAGAGTGATTTATTTCTCCGTATGTGTTAGTCTCGTTATAAATATATATTTATATAATATATACTAGTATTTATAGAGTTCTTAATTCTTAATTAGTACTCCGATTGTGTATTGATTTTCTTTTTTCCCCGGGAATGTGTAAATTGTTAGATGTGGACAAAAAAAAAAAGAAAACTAGAATGCCACTCTTGTAAATAAGTTTAAAAGAAATTACTTATTATCACGTATTTTTTTTAAGAAAGTAAGGATGACACTTGTCAAAAAAAAAACTTAGCATTTGAATAAGTTTGGAAGAGAGGTTGTATTTAACACTCCTCTACCAAAAAAAAAAAAAAGAGTCTATCAAAAAACTAAAAAAAATAATATTATAAATTATAATTTAAAGAAAATTATAAAATTTATCTTTAAGAGTGTATGAGTCTGAATTTTTACTGCATATTCTTGATTAATACTCTTTTATTAGTATAGTTATTTTATTAAAAAGATTATTAATTAAGAATAAGATATAAAAATCCTGACACGTGCATTTTTAATGAGTATTTATAATAGGCTATTTACGCATCCAACACAATCCGAAAGGTAAGAGTTTAAATATAGAAACATTTTTAAAATATTATAAAAATAGTAAAATTTTGATATCATTTGAATAATAACTACATCATTATGTAGTTTAAAATGTGACATTATTATAATAATTATTATATCATTTTTATTATATTTATAATATTTTGAAAATTTTGTTAAATTTGAAATTAAGATATGAAATTTTACCATTCGGTGTAATTGTCTCCTTTTTCTAAAAATTTTTTTTATCCGAACAACAGGCTCTAGAATATTGTTATTGATAAAAAGATAATCATGATGAATATCTCTTAAAAATATATGAGTTAGAATTTGTATTCTTTATTGTAATCTTTTTATTCAAATAATTGTACTAATAAAAATAATACTTATTAAGAATAAAAATAAAACCAATTCATTCCGTACGAGCAACCATTTTTTATTCGTTTAATATTAAGAATAAAAAATATTTAGTATTAAAAGAATGATGGAACAAGTTGAGCCCATTAAACGGATAAGCCTAAACTCTAAAAAAACGTTTAATTTATGAATTAAAATTATGAGATTAAAATTATTTTTTATTTATGTATAATTTTTATAAAAAAAATTTTATAATAAATTATGAATTATAATTTAAATTATTATATGAATTTTCTTACTAAACTTCTCTCCCATAGACACAAATCCTAAGAAAACCAATTCCTTCCGTACGAGCAACCATGAACAACACGCGGACACGAACTTGACGAAGCTGGAGACTCGACTCAAGAGTGGCGTAAGGTTGCAACTCATCTAACGTTTACGAAAAATACGTCATCAAAGCGTCCATAGATTGCCACGTGTATATGTCTTCGTATATTATGCCAACAAGGTATTAATAAAAAAGCACACGCTCGGTACACCAACATATTATCAGGTCAAATCTTCTATTGGTTAAATATGTATAAATCACATAAGAATTTAAAAATATAAATATTCAACAGTTTAAAAAAATTTAACATATTAATACGTTAACCGTACCAAAAAAATCTCCATAATAGATTATCAATTAATATAATAAGAGTTAAAAGAAGAAAAGCAAGCAAGTCAATGAAGGTCTAGCGAAAAATTGTATACTACAGAATCAAAAGAGAAAAGAAAAAAAGAAAAAAGAAAAGAAGAAGAAAAAGCATATTTAATATCTTGAGTCTTGACGAAGAAAATGATGGGGAAATTAGGTGAAGCAGAGAAATAAATTAGGGATTGGGAATTTGAAAGAAAATGGGGTTCACTGATTTTGTGTCCGAAAACATTGGATTTGCAGAAGCAGTAGTATTCAGCGCCGCCCCCAAGTCTGGCGCCCGCTTCCAATGGGGCGGAACCTTCTTTGCCTTGTCAGTCACTCTATTCCACTTTCACTCTTTTTACTCTCCACAATTGTGATTTCTCTTCTTCTTCTTTTCACTCTTTATCCCAATTTCATTTGCATTTTAATCTTGAGTATGTTATTCCTCTGTGACTGTGAATATATATACATATATATATTGCTGATTTAGTTGATTTGTATGTGAATTGTATTTGCAGATTATTGTTGATTCTAAACCGAACAGGCCCGCACAGATCGTCTATGCAAACTAATCTTTTAGTATTTTTTCTCTTCACAAGTTTCCCAAACTTTCTATTCAATATTGTTAGGTGCTGGCCTATTCTTGTTATGTTCATCTTGGTTATGTTTTTTATTTTTATTTTTTATTATTTTTCCAATACTCCACCAATTCGCGTACTAATTAATCTAATTACGCAGAGGATCGTTTGGATATTGGATTTCATTTTTTGCTGTTTCAGCACACCTCTTCTCTCCAGAAGATTTTCCAGGTTTATATATCTTCTTAACCATATGATAAAAAACCAAAATTGTGTTTTATCAAAATTAAAAGTACGACATTTATGAAAACACAAACGAAACATAACATTTGAATGAAATGCGATAAAAGCTTTGGTTATATCTCTCTTACTTTTATTATTTTCTTATTTGTGCAATACTAAATTTGAATGTCACTTGTAGATTGTTTGCTCAAATGTATTTGTGTTAACCGTATGTGCAGTTTCGCGTTTTATCCTTTTCGTCATCACACCTGATTGGATCGCCAAGGGACTGCGAGGTAGCTCCGCAGGCTGCATCTTTTGTCTCACAATCGGAGTTTTTCTTGTGCTAACGAAGCTCCGGATTATGACAGCAGATGATGAATTCCAATTCAATTATAATTGCTTTTGGTATTTTCTTTGTATAGTAGCTCTAATCTTGTTTACAATAACGCTATTCTAGAATAATGAGTTCAATTAGAATGGACATTGATGTTTTGCTAATGAATGAATCATTTGATTTTGCTTGTGCTGAAGGTGATCATAATGCTGAGTAAGTATAAATTTTGTTAACATCTTTCTCTGCTTCTGGCAATGTCAATTACTGTAGTTTTCCCAAATAAAATAAAGATTTGAGGATAACAAGTTTTGAGCCATTCATGATTTCCACAAAGTTGTACTGTAGAAAAAATAGACTGCATTGTTTTTTACTTCCTCGGATTAGGCTCATTTTGTCCAAGATAGACTTGCCCGTTCTTTTCAGCAATGGAAGGTTATCTTGCTGGAACGGAAGATCCTTGGCCCACACATTGGAGTGCGGTCCGTCAAGTCGAAGAAAATTTGAGACATGAAATTGTCCATTATAGATGTTTACTTCTAGTAAGCTGTTTTGCTGTGAACCTTATTGCTTGTACCTTTTCTTTTGGAATAGGAAGCACTTCCTTAGTTGTTGCCCTTGTGGGGGGTCCTTTGAAGGTCACAACAAGTCCTTTCAATTGGCCCTATGTCACCATGAAGACTCCGAAGCGCGTCTCAAACGCCATTGAAAGTTTGTGTGGAATCCCTTTGGTGAGGGATCTTGACATTTTGTATTTGAGAGCCTCATGGATTGACATAACTGATATACTTGTTTCAGTACAGAAAAGGAATAAGAAAATGCAATTGGAAAGGAGTTCTTGAGGCGTGTAAAAGATCAATGCTCGGGCAATGATAATATATATGCCAAATAACAATGGTGTAAAGTTTTGCATTGAACAAAAACTTATGTTCAGAATTATGAAATTACAGTAGCACACAAGAACCAAATTTGTATGTGAGAGAGAGAGAGAGAGAGAGAGGGGGGAGAGACTAAAAACGTCTACTCATTTCATGGAAGTCTACCAAATTCAACAAGATACGGCGAACCATGAACCAACCAATCGTCTTCACCCCACTCTGTTAGTGCTTCGTCCAATAATTCATCACACCATTGGAATTCCCATAATGTTAACGTCTTATAAACGTTTAGTCTCTACACTAGTTGGGAATTTTTACTTTATAAATGACAACCCCTTCTGCTATGCGAATTCCCTTCAAGATCTTCTAAGCAAAATGGATTTCCTCTCATCCATATTCGTCTTTATTCTCTTCATTTTGAGCCTTTTCTCTTTTACTGTTGCACAACAGCCTTATGTAAGAGAGACCACAACAGATTGTCCCAACAAGCATAACGAAAGTTCTGCTCTTGGCTACTTTTGCAATGGGGTCAGCAAAAGTTGCCATACTTACCTCACTTTCAGATCTGTCCCTCCTTACAACAACATTACTTCCATCTCTAATCTACTGGCTGCTGACCCGTCCGAGATCTCCAAAATCAATTCGGTTCCGAAGGCTGCAACGTTTGACATGAACAAGTTGGTGATAGTTCCGGTCAACTGCTCATGTCCCGGTGAGTACTATCAATCAAACACGTCTTACGTTATTGATGAAGATGACATATATCTCAGTATTGCTAATAACACCTTCCAAGGCCTCACAACCTGCCAAGCTCTTGGGAACCAAAGTGGTAATCCCCCTCCCAAGGAACTAATTCCCAGCCAAACCATCATTGTTCCTCTTAGATGTGCTTGTCCCACAAAGAACCAAATTGATATGCACGTCAAGTATCTAATGAGCTACTTAGCCGATGTAGATGATGATGTTTCAATAATTAGTGAAAGGTTTGGCATAGACAATGGTTTGTTTCTGAAAGCAAATCAACTTTCTGAGCTAGACGACACCATTTATCCGTTTACCACTCTTTTGGTTCCTCTTCAAAACCCACCGTCGAGTTCTCTGACCATAGAGCCACCGCCATCTCTGCCACCTCCTAGTGCATTGCTGCCCACCTCTTCCTCTAATAAGGCCTCAAAGAAAACATGGCTTTATGCTCTTCTTGGTGCTGTTGGAGGAAGTGCTTTTCTCTTGGTCTTAGGCACCATTATCTTCTGCAGAGTCTTCCACAAATACAGGAAGAAATCAGTTCCAGTTCCCATCCCAAGAACCTCCGCGGCACGCAAGAAAATTGAGAAAGAATCCCATGACTTCTTGGAGCATATATCTGATATAGCTCAGTCCCTCAAAGTTTACAGTTTTGAAGAACTTAAGGTGGCCACAAATGACTTCAGTCGTAGTTGTTGGATCAAACGATCTGTCTACCGCGGCACATTTAATGGGGATTTGGCAGCTATCAAGAAGATGGATGGAGATATCTCCAAAGAGATAAATCTATTGCAGAAGATCAACCATCCGAATGTTATTCGTCTCTCTGGAGTTTGTTTCAACGAGGGTCATTGGTATCTTGTTTATGAATATGCTTCCAATGGATCCTTAAGCGACTGGATCTATAACGACAACAATGACGGGAGGTCTTTAACTTGGACACAGAGGATTCAGATTGCATTAGATGTTGCCACAGGGCTGACATATCTGCATAGCTTCACCAATCCTTGTCATGTTCATAAGGACATAAAGAGCAGTAACATCCTTCTCGACAGCAATTTCAGGGCTAAGATTGCGAATTTCGGTCTAGCGCAATCAACACAAGCGCGAGAAGGTCAGTTTTCTTTGACAAAACACATTGTTGGAAGTGTTGGTTACTTGGCCCCTGAGTACTTGGAAAGCGGGTTGGTCTCCAGTATGCATTTGGGGTTCTGTTGCTTGAGATGCTCACTGGGAAAGATGTTTCTGAGTTATACAATGAGGAGAATAAGCACTTAACCGATACATTGAGTGGTGTTCTTAGTGATGATGGACAAGATAGTTTGAGGAACTTTATGGATCCTTCAATGGGAGGAAAATATCCTGCTGAACTTGCTAATTTGTTGGTCAAAATTGTTGATAGTTGCTTGAAGAAAAAGCCTCAAGTTCGACCACCAATGGATGAAATAGTGCAGTTTCTCTCAAGAACCTTGAGCAGTCAACTGATCTGGGAATTCTCAAACAACCGAATTTATTAGCTAGTACGTACACTTAGAACATTTTATGATAGAATAACTGATAGCATTTGTCATTTGAGTTCTTAATCTCTATTTGCATTTTGTCAGTTTGTTACTTTGCCTCCTTCTTTGTAATGTTCTTCTCTCTATTTTTATCAATATCTATAGGAAATTCTTCGAGAAACAAAAATGCAAGTTCAAGCATAAAGGGCTTGAGAAGAAGAGTTTTGTAAAAATATAAAATCGTATCCAATATTTTCTAGGGAAAAAAGGAAAAAAAAAATGTAACATAAGAAATATTTAATGTTCTGTAAAAGGATAAAAACATAAAAATTTATGGAAAAAAAAAACAAAAAAACAAACTAGTGATCAATTCCTCAACTCGAGGCATCTTAGAGAATTATGGTTTGAATTGATTAGCAGTGTAGATAAACGTATTTGGATCAATCATCATTGTCTCACTAGCAAAAAGAACGCTTGGAAAGGCCAAAAATGTAGAAGTTTTTCCCTAAACTGGGGGGAAAAAAAAAAAGACTTTCTCCAATAATACCCACAAAAATAAACTACAAATAGTCCGAATCTATTATTAGATTATGGTGAGCCGAGCACTATCTGCGCTTCATAGCATGGCATGGATCTAGAGATGCAAAAATAGGCCGGCTCGGTCCAGCCCGGCCAGTTCTCCTTAGGCCCACGCGGGCCCCACGAAATCGGGACCGGCCCATATAAGAATGACCTTGGCCCAGCCCACACTACGGGCTAATTTTATGTGGACCAGGTTGGGCCGTGCTATGGGCTGGCCCTCTCAAGGCCCATCATGGGTTAAGATAGGCCAGCCCACTTAAGCATGTAATTTTTAATTTTTTTAATTTTTAATTTTTAAACAAGTTAATAAATATATAAGTTTAAATAGTTAATGGAAATATGAAAATTGATATTTTATTTACGATTACCTCATTAAATAAAAACTTTTTTAAGGAAAATCTAGTGGAACAAAACCTTGATAAGAAAAAAATAATACAATCAAGATAATTATATATAAAATGTTGACAAAATTACTAAAAAAAAGAAAAAAATGAAGATATTATGGGCCTAGATGTGCTGAGCTGGGCCGGCCCTTTATGGGCCTAGATGGCCCGGGATGGGCCGGCCATCATGGGCCTAAACGGACTGACCCGGCCCGGCCCAAGCCTGGCCTGGCCCATAATTTTTCATGGACCGTGCCAGGCCGGCCCATAAATCAGTATATGTTGACTCAGCTCAACTCACTAATATTTATGGGCTGAGCCGTGTCTTGAACAATGACAAATCATGCCAGCCTAACTCATCACTATATTAGGATGGGCCTGAACCGGCCTAGGAGAGCCCGGCCAATAGTTGCATCTCTACGTGGCTCTAAAGAAAAAGTCACATTTGCCCACAGCATGAACCAATTATAAACCGTAAAGTTTGATTCCTCCATTTGAAAAGTCAACCAGTTGAATAACGGGAGGTTGTTGAACCAAAGACAACTAGACATGGTCAGACGACCAATCCTCCTCATCCCTCTCTGTTAAGCTTCTTCCAAGAACGACCACACCATTTGTTAACCCAAATGCTTTCGTAGTTCCAAATTCACAACCAACCCAAAAATGAGTTTCCTCTCTTCCCAATCTCTTCCCATTCTCTTCCTCTTCTGTTGCTTCTCTATCAGTATTGCCCAGCAGCCTTACGTGGGCATTACCACAACAGATTGTTCCAACCAGCATAATTCATCTTCCGGTCTTGGCTACTTCTGCAATGGCCTAAACAGAAGTTGCCAAACTTACCTCACTTTCAGATCAACGCCTCCTTACAACACTGTTTCCGCAATCTCCGATCTATTCTCCGCCGACCCTTCTGCGATCTCTTGGATCAGCTCAGATTTGGCCATAATTCTAGTCAACTGCTCATGTTCAGGTCAGTTTTATCAATCAAACAAGCCTTACACGGTTAAGCGTGGTGACACATATCTCACTATTGCTAATAACACTTTCCAAGGCCTCTCTACTTGCCAGGCTCTTTCTAATCAAAGTGTTAATCCCTCTGAAAAGAATATTGCTGTTAATCAAATAATTAGGGTTCCTCTTAGATGTGCTTGTCCCACAAGGAACCAAAGTGATTTTGGGGTCAACTATCTTTTGAGCTATTTAGTCCAGAAGGGTGAGACTCTTGCAATTATAAGCCGGAGATTTGGTGTAGATAGTAATTCTGTTTCTGAAGCAAATAGACTCTCTGCCTCTGATAGCACTATCTATCCGTCCACCACACTTTTGATCCCTCTTGAAAATCCACCAAGTTCTCAAACCACACAGCCACCGACTCCGCCGCCGCCACCGCCACCGCCACCGCCGCCCCCAACTTCGGCCCCGACCTCTAATGAGAGCTCCAAAACTTGGCTTTATGCCCTTCTTGGTGCCCTTGGAGGAACTGCCTTTCTTTTTGTCCTAGGCATCATTGTCTACTGCAGAGTCTTGAAGGAAAGCAGGAAGAAGAGTGACCCGATTCTTGTCTCGGAGAGCTTGAGCTTTGAGGCGCGCGAGAAGCCAGTGGAGAAAAGCGTGGAAGAATCCCAAGATCTCTTGGAAAATATATCCGATATAGCTCAATCACTGAAAGTTTACAGTTTTAAGGAACTACAAGTTGCCACAAATGATTTCAGTCCTAGTTGTTGGATCAATGGAAATGTTTATCGCGGCACGATTAATGGCGATTCGGCAGCAATAAATAAGATGGACGGAGACATCTCCAAAGAGATAAATCTATTGCAGAAGATCAACCATTCTAATATTATTCGCCTCTCAGGAGTTTGTTTCAACGAGGGGTATTGGTATCTTGTTTATGAGTATGCTTCAAATGGACCCTTAAGTGACTGGATCTTCAATCATGAGAAGTATTTAAGTTGGACACAGAGAATTCAGATTGCATTAGATGTGGCCACAGGGCTGAATTATCTTCACAGCTTCACCAATCCTTCTCATGTTCACAAGGACTTAAAGAGCAGTAACATCCTTCTCGACAGCGATTTCAGGGCTAAGATTGCGAATTTCGCTCTAGCGAGATCGACACAAGGGCAAGAAGGTCAGTTTTCTTTGACAAAGCATATTGTTGGGACTATTGGTTACATGGCCCCTGAGTACTTGGAAAATGGGTTGGTCTCCCCAAAGCTTGATGTCTATGCATTTGGGGTTCTGTTGCTTGAAATGCTCACTGGGAAAGATGTTGGTGTTTTGTATGATAAAAATAAGCGCTTATCCGATGTATTAAGTGTTGTTGCTAAAGATGAAGGACAAGAGAATTTGAGGGACTTTGTGGACCCTTCAATGGGAGAGAATTATCCCTCTGAACTAGTGAATTTTGTGGTCAAGATTATTGAAAGTTGCTTAGAGGAAAATCCGGAAGCTCGGCCACATATGTATGAGATTGTGCAGTTTCTTTCAAGAACCTTGAGCAATTCTGTCGCTTGGGAATTGTCAAATAGCGTCACTAGATAGCAATTTTAGTGGTCTTTCATCTGTTCTCCTCATCTACACACTGTTTGTACACATATGTTGTGATATACTGCTATCTATGTTCTTTTTCATTTTCAAAAATTTTTTTCATGTGTTCTCATCGACACAATTTCTAAAAAAAAAAAGATTGTCAGACTGAATATCTTTTTGTGTCTAAATTATCGTATTCATTCGGAGTTCAAGTCCGGCTAGCCCATACACTAAAGCGACTGGGTCGAGATCAAGACTGGGCTAGTAGTAGGACGTTTCATACTGGCCTGTTTGCCCACCCAAATTTGTACCTTTAGTTTCTAAACAGTCTTTCGCATTTTCTAATAAATTGATCTAAAAGTGGTTCTTGAATGGTATTTGACTAGTATATATCTTCAAAAACACCTATATAGTTTGTAACCCGTCTTAATTTTTTTAAGGAAAAAATAAAATAAAATAGAATTAAAATAATTCTTTTTAGAGTTTTATTTCTTTCGGAGGTATTATGAACGTTTTATTATGTTTCATCAACACACTAAAATAGTTATATGATATATCAGATGTGGAAGTAGGTCAACATCTTTATTGGAGAATAGGAACAATTAGCTCATAATAACCACCTTAATATAGCCATTCATCAATAAAAAAACGCTTCTCAGATTGGGTAAAATGCAAACCAGAAGTACGAATAAGCATTATAAATAATATTATTTTCCTACAATAGAGATCGAGAAATAGATTCACCGATACCATCAATATCTATTGGAAGGGCAACAATGAAAAACGATTAAAAATATGGATTTCTTTTTTTGCTTGTAATAAATAAATACAAAAGGTTTAGTCAATAAGGTAAGGATCATCAAAACACCAAATCATCTGTAACGCCCCTCTTAAGTTAGCAGATTGAAACCCATTAATTCGACAACTAGAATAAAATAATATTGCGTAAGGGAAAAATAATTTATACTACAAAAACAATCCTCGAACAAAATTCTTAGAATTATAAATTTCAAATCTTAATATATCTAAACTTGTCATGGGACCTTGAACCTTTCTTGCTTAGGGAACCAGAACTTCAATTATAGGGCTTACCAACATCACAAGAACTATATGAGCGACAGCTCAGTAAGTAAACTATAAAAAAATTTTCATTTTCAAAATACTTTTTTTTTTTATTTTTATTGATGGCTTATATTAAGATAGCTTTTCCAAATGTATCTATACTTTTTTTTTCTATTGAAACAAAGATCCTTTTAGTACACCATCTTTCGTTTGAAAGTATCAACTTCTTTTTTCGGTTTTTCCTACTTTTACTTATTCTTTTTTTTTTTTTTCAACTTTTCCTTGAGGATCCCACAGGTGCCCCTTCAACTTTGAAATCATTCTCATTTTTGCCTTTAAATTTTTAAAATTCTCACTTTGTCCCCTTAATTTTTAAATTTGTCCTATTTAATCCCTTTTATAAGAATTTTTGTTAAAATCAAACAGAAAAATAGGGAGTTAAATATGGCCATGTAGTTTTTCTATATTTGTTTTTGACATAAATTGAAACGGAAAAATTATATGACTGTATTACTCTCTTTCTTTTATCTATTTTTACCAATAATTATAACATAGAGGGTTAAGTGAGAACAATTCAAAGTTCAAGGACAAAGTGAGAGTTTTTAAAATTCTGGAGGCAAATTAAAAATGACTTTAAAGTTTAGAGGCACCGATAATAATTCTTCTTTTAACATCTTTAATCTATTTTGTATATATTATCTTTACAACATATATTCACACTTTCTCCCCCATGTACACATTTAAGCAAATTACATTTATGATTGAAATATGCATTGCAATCCTTTTACTTTTTTGTTTATTTATAAATCTTATGTATTCAAATGACCTTATTAAACTTTTTTCTTAAAACTGCTTTTATGAAATTAAATTTTTTCATATTTGCGATAACTTAAACATATTTTTTCTTATAGTCAATATTTTTGTCTTCTCGGATGTCTTACCGCTTAAACGTTTTTCTCATATAAACTTTTCAAATACTTTTTTATATGTATCCATAATAATTTACTTTCTAAATTTTATCCATTAAATACTTTTGACCTTTTAAAATGTGCTCTATTAATTTTTCTTTTTTTTGCTAAACTCAATTATTAGGATGATAGAAAATAGGTAAAACTAAATTTTAGAAGAAATTTTAAATTTTCGTTTAAAAAATTTACGAGGAATGCACGCATGGGTGCATGCCTTTAACTAGTAAAAAAAAAAAAGAGTAAAAAAGTTTTAAAAAAAATAATAGAAGAGAGATTGCCACGTGACAGTTCAAAAAAAAAAATACTATTACAAGAATTTTTGGCTCTTTTTATGTGTTAGATACAATAATTTGTCTACAACCAAGTGATATTTTATTGGATTCTAGTACTACTGGCTATTATAGCAGTGGTTAATTATTTATGACTTTTTTTTTTCTTTTCTTTTCAGAATTTTCTTTCCCAACTAGCTATTATAGTAGGGGTAGATTATTTATGACTTTTTTTTCTTTTCTTTTCCGAATTTTTTTTTTAATTTTTTTGTCAATAAATAGTTAAAAGATAATTAATATTAGGAGGTTGTTCTTTCCAGGAAAAAAATTTAAATTTGTTACAAAAAAAACCACAATATTAAAAGTTCAGGAACTTATGATACCAATAACCCGCAACTAATTAAGGGTGTAGGACTTGAATTAAATTTAAATATTTAATGGGGCGCTTTTTAAAATGGGACACATTACAGTAACTTGAAAATTTCAAGTCTAAGTTACCATAACTACTGTTGGGAAAGTATGTAACCGCGAGAAATCCAATCTAAAAATGTTGGAGCCAAGCTATATTTGGATGTCTATATAAAAAGAGAAAATACTCAAAATACTATGTGAATTTTGTCAAAATACCGTTTTAATCATTTTTATTATGCAAATGTTTAAAATACACTCCCGTGTTTATAAAAACAGACCAAAAATACTTCTGAAGCAATTAAATTTTTAAAAATGTCACCACTACTCTTCTCAATCAATATAAAAATTTAATTACTGTAGGGGTTTTCTTAATATGTTTTTATGAAAAGAACAGAGTGTTTTGAGTATTTATATAATAAAAAAAGACATAAATAGTATTTGACAAAATACAAGATGGCGTTCGTTTCGCTTATTCGAGTTTAGAATTTGAGTTTTGCTACAGTAAAAAGTTCTCACAAACAATCACATCTAACTTTTTTGCTACAGTAAAAAGTTCTCACATACAATCACATTTCAACTCAAATTCTAAACTCGAATCAGCGAAACGAACGAGACAGTATCATCCCCATTCCCCACTATATGAGAAAGAGTGGGAATTGCATTCTGCAACTTACTTGTCAAGTACTTATTGGCTCTCGAAATTGCCATTTTGGGAACCACATGCAGATGATAAACATTATTACTAGAAAACGAGCCTGTTATATTATATTATATTATATTATATTATATATATATATATGAATGGTCTCTCATCCATACCTTAAAAATACCTATCTAGTCGGCACATTAATCATAACCGTTGGATTACTATTTCAACGGTCAAGAAAAAAAGCTATTTTTTAATGTTTGGGCGATAGATGTTAGGGGCACCTATTGTAGTCTGACAAAAAGTCAAAATAAGCAATAGAAGGGATTCTTTTTGTGATTATTATATTAACTAAAATGTTATTATTCATGAAGATGAAACGAGTGTCGTTTGGAAACCAAATTTTCTGGTCAAGTTTACTGTCTGTGACGGCAAAGAAAGTGGGGTAGGTCCGGGCGGTATTTGACGGCGGCGGAAAAAGGGGCGGTTCCAAAGGTGGTGGGGAAGGAGTAGGGGACAATCTGCAGACCTCAAAAATTAGAGAAGAAGAAGAGCCGACCCACACCGGCCTCACCGATCATCATATCTGGGTTTTCTTATTTGTTGTCAATGAAGACCTCAAGCCGTACCAATTTGCTTGCTAGGAAAGCCTAACTCCCGCGCTCAATCAATTTGAAACTAGAACCGCTTCACAACCCAACACCAGCCCTATTGTATCCCTCTTCGATCTTCGTCATCGTGAGACTCTGTTGTTCTCTTTCGTCGATCTGGATTTCCTTCTCCATCGATCTGGGTTTTCTTCTTTGTTATTCTCTGCTTCTTGTTTGGGGGTCCTGAATTTGGAGGAAAATAAAAAAAATAAAATGAAAGGAAAAAAAATGTCAGATATTATTGTCTTAATGAAGTTATATAGGCTCCGTTTCTTTTTATTGATTCGAATTTAAAATTTGAGTTTTGTTACAGTAAAAAATTCTCAAAAACAATAACATCAAATTTTTTTACTACAATAAAAAACTCGCACATAAAATTAAATATCAACTCGAATTAAAATTGAATTAGCGATTTAACCCATAATCTCAAATGTGTTTACTTCTTGAATATTAAACATTTTTTTATACTGAATAATTTTCTTAGATTCAATCTAGGCACTGAATTGCGAAGCAAAATACTGAGGAAAAAAAAAAACCGCTCCTTTAGAGAAGTTGAGTGAAGTTCTTGCGATTCATCATCAAAGAGTTGCTTTCTTTTCATTTATATTTTCTTCTGATGCTCCAAACAAGGCTCAACAAAAAATTCTACCTTAAAGTCTTTGATTCCATTTGTGTCTCCCTTCCATCATTTGGTCAAGATTTTTTTTTTTGGGGGGGCTGGAAATCATTTGTTGAAGTTACTATTAATTATACATTCATTAATGCTAACTGTTGACGGTGGATTTTCGCCAACAAAAACAGGCCGGTTTACCTCTGGGTTCCCGTCGGATTACCGGCTTAAATATAGATTATGTGTAGGAGTTTGATGTGCTTGCGGTATTTTTTGTGTAGTAGGCAATATGAGAAAGATATACTTAAAGTAGAAAAACACACAAGATTTATAGTGGTTCACTCTTATAAAATGAAGAGCTACATCCACTGTGGTTTGTTATTCCTTTTTTAGATTGTTACAATTTACAATATGCTCTTTCGTTCTTTCTTTCTTAGAAAAGATCAACCTCCTTTCCGTATGAGGTTTCTCTCCCTTTATAGCCGAGCTTCCTTCG